TTGACGCACAAGCACTGGGCAGCCCAAGGAGACATGGATTGACGGATCACTCCTTGGTCTCCGATAGTGGGGGTTTGGGTGACATGCAGACGATATTTNATCACTAGGCCTAACGCACCCCTAAACCCTAACCCTAACCCTAACCCTAACCCTAACTCAACACCCCAAGCTAAANAGAAGTGAGCCTCGAAGGTGGCTTGTGACAAGGAGTGGAAGATCTCCGGTTGTGGATACGGTATTCGCTTGTTGATTATTGCTTACTCGGGGCAAGCAAGGAGAAGTAGTGAAGCAGGGGGGCTGAGCAATCCTAGCCTCAAGACGGGGCCCGGCAAACCGGACCTTACTGCTAGTACCTGTTGGGAACAACGCATTCTCCCAAAGGCGCAACTCCTATCAACCGTAACCATGTAACCGTAACAGGTAGACACGAAACCAACGCCACAGCGGGTTTCCAGCCCTCAGGCAGCACCAAGGCGCTAGGTCTCACTAGGCCTAACGCACCCCCTAACCCTAACCCTAACCCTAACCCTAACCCTAACTCAACACCCCAAGCTAAATTGTTGTGCCTAGGTCGCTGTACCGAGCTACTGGAGCGTGTTTTTTCTGTGCCAGTAGTCTACTGGCAAATTTTCGCCGCGGGCACGGCAGCTGTCCTGCGGCGTGGCACCCTCTTCTCTTTCCCCCCAACAGAGTGTGAGTAATAACAAGCATCTAAACACCAGGCACAACTACTACAAAGACGACCAGGGCATATCACTTAGTGTGTACGAATACTCCAGAGTTTCCTTCGAAGGGGCCCCTTTGAGTGGCCATGCCAGGCGATACCTCAGCGAGCGAAAACCGTGAAACCGCGACCGACCAGCGCGTGACAGAGCTGGCGACGAAGCTAGATGAGCAGAGCAACGTGCTGTCGGCTGTCTTAGAGAAGCTGGAGCAGCTCCAGATGCCGCCTGCCAGGGCGGCGGGGGCAGAAGAGGGAGAGTCACGTGGCGCTGGCAACGCCGCAGAGCGCGGCACAGCCGCGCGCACGGTTTGGGCCGCCACCTGGTGGAGTCGGGGGAGTAGTATCCCCGGGCAACCCATCCGCGGGCCCCCCACTGGGAAGTGAAGCAGCGGGTTCTCATGCCCAAGGTGAGACAGATGGGGCTGGTGGGGG